CGTGGGTCATGATATTTTTCTAGCAATGTATGGATCTGTGAAGGTCTCAGTCTGTTCTTCTACTGTGTGTATCATGCACTTTCCAATATGTCCTTTCAGCTCGGACAGTCACAGGAACGACAGGTATCTATTCTTACTGTAAAACTTATACAAATAGGTCGTCGTTACTGTTAACCATACGCAAATAGGTCTCGTATTGTGGGATGCGACTGTAGTGTAGAAGATTTATTTTATTCTCAGAACTTTCAGGATGTAATTCTAACATAGTGTATGGAAAGCTTGCGTGTGATTTTGTGGGATGTGTTTTGATTGTCACATTTATTGGGGAGAAGTTGGTACAACGGTAGGATTCTCGCCAAATTGACATATTTTATTAGACGTATGTTGTGGTTTGACTTATCTTAAGTGTCATTTATTATCCATATCTTTCGTAGAAAGCGGTTCTTTTTTTTCTCTGTGTGTATGTGTGTGTGGCTAAAATTATGTATGTGTTGAGTTCGCCTTTAACGTAACCTCAAGGGGTGGTACATTGTACTACAGTTTTTTCATACTTCTGTGTGGATAATTTCTTAGCATGAAACTTGATGTCATTTTTCTCTTTTGCATTTTGCATTCATGTCTGGAACAAGGGGCACTTCTCTTTTAACGCATTTTACATTTTTTCTTTCCTTTGCGGGCCTGTCTTTAGCTACATACATGTATTTAATTCTTATGACTTCAATGCCACCCCCCCTTCCCCAAGCCTTTCCCTTTCCAAGAAAACACACATATTGAATCCATACTTTGGTACAATACCGCTTAAATCCCGATAAGGTGCTAGAACCTCATGAGAATGAAGCGTCCTTTTAAAAGTTTTTATCTCTTTTTATACTCGTGTTTTCTTTTCTCTTTTAGCTATAACTATTCAACATCGTGAACTCTTCGTATAAATGTTGGGTTTTTTTTTTTAAACATACAAACACAAACGGATATCATCTATAGATGTTGCATTCATAGGTTTATAAAAGCATTTTAAAAGTTGTGAAATATTCATCGATCTGGTTTTTTAATGTTATTTGTTACCTCGTCGTTTCTTTTTTTTGCCATCCTTTTGCTCTGCATATTTTGTGACTATTTTGTATTATGTACTTGTAAATTTTCTCTACTGAATGCAATTCTTTCCTAAATAACCTTGTTGTGAGATTTCCTTCTCATCACACATCATGAGATCGGAGACAGAGTACTTGGCATGTTGTTTATGATGAAACAGTAACAAAACGGCGGTATTTCGCCATGAACGTGTCAGGCTGGTCTATGGGTCATACTACCTTGGCCATAAGCAAATGCTTCCCTGTGGGTGGTTGGCGGGTGCTCTGGTTTGGTTTGCTCCTTTTTTCCTACCAAACATCTCTCGTCCATATCCCCCCCCCCCCCACCCCAAGAGGTAAGGACGTTCGATGCTTGATAGAAAAAAGGAGAGAGATAATGACTATAATATATGTTTGATGGGAAAAAATAGGAGAGATAAGGACGAAAGATGTTTGATAAAAAAGAAGGTGGAGAGATAAAGACTATATATGTTTGATAGAAAAGAGGAGGAGAGATAAGGACGAAAGATGTTTGATAGAAAAGAAGGTGGAGAGATAAGGACTATATATTATGTTTGATGGGAAAAGAGGAGGAGAGATAAGGGCGATAGATGTTTGATAGAAAGAAATGTGGAGAGATAAGGACTATATATTATGTTTGATGGGAAAAGAGGAGGAGAGATAAGGGCGATAGATGTTTGATAGAAAGAAATGTGGAGAGATAAGGACTATATATGTTTGATAGAAAAGAAATAGTTGCGATAAGGACGCTGTACGAGTATTATTATGTTCAATAGTCAAGAAGGAGGAGTGAAAAGGATGATATTATATGTTTGACAGGCAAGAAGGGGGAGAGATAAGGACAATGAAGGTTTGACAGGCAAGAAGGGGGAGAGATAAGGACAATGAAGGTTTGACGGGAAAGAAGTAAGCGAGATACTTGCAATATATGTTTGATAAGAAAGAAGGGGGAGTGGTAAGGACGATAGGTGTTAGATAGGGGGGAAAGGAGAGATAAGAACGATAGATGCTTGATAGGAAAGAAGGGGGAAAACCCAAGCAGATTAAAAGTAAGCTCCTTGGGCAAACCACACCAGAGCACCTGCTGACCACCCATGAGTAAGTATGGCGGAAGGTTTGGCGATATCTCACTAGTTACAGAATGGGGCACCACTCGGGACGTAAAATACTGTAGACATTAGAGACTCTGCTGGCGCCCTGAGGGTACCCTGGGGGCTGAGAAGAAATGATGAGGGGGAAGACGTGGGCGATTTTATGGTTGGTAGGGGGGGTGGGGAGAAGGGGCTCGGTCCAGCAAGGTCAATACTTTTTCTCTTCCTTCCTTCCTTTGATTAATTAATTTCTTCTCCACGTCTCTCTGTCTCTCGTTCTCTTTGTCTCTCTTTTTCTTTCTGTTGTTCTCTTTGCCTCTCTCTTTTCTTTCTGTGTCTTTTTCTTTCTCTGTTTCTCTTTCTTCTTTCTCTCTTCTTTCTCTTTCTCCCTCTATCTATCTATCTCTCTCTCTTTTTCACTGCTTCTGTTTCTCTGTCTATCTCTCTATTTTATTTATCTCTATCTATCTATCTATCTATCTATCTATCTATCTATCTATCTATCTATCTATTTATTTATTTATTTCTCCTTCCGAGCAAAAGTTTTCAGAAATAGGACGCCAGTTAAATCAGAAGTCAGAGAAGAAAAAGAAAACAACGTGTTGCTATGTATGAAATGGGAAACTCAACCAAACTCCCAGAGGTCTATTTTTACTCGTTTTACATCCTGATAAAAAAACACTGCAATATGGCGTCCGTCATATATTACAGAGGAAATTGGAAAAAAAACAGCTGCACACCTGTTCGACTAATTGGACCAAAAGATTAAACGATCCAATTCGAACAAACGAGAGCAGATGAAGTCGATAATGATAAACTGTACATGTGACAGGGTTAGAGAAAACAGTTCTGACAGAAAGCTGACTATTCTTGTTCTTGTCTACTCTCATCGCGTAATGTCAAATCATAAAATATATCAATAGTATAATGAGCCTTCATAATTTCTGCGAGCAACAACGAATTGAAGAGCAAGGCCATAAAGAAGGTTAATGAGTAAAACCTGGACTCTGATAACAGCAGATAGAACCGAGTAGATGTTGTTGTTGGAGGGATACACCCTGCTATGGACGAAAAACGCCTGTATAGAACAGAGTGGTTGAAAAACGCCTGTGTAGAACAACGCCTGTATAGAACGGAGTGGTTGAAAAACGCCTGTGTAGAACAACGCTTGTATAGAGCAGAGTGGTTGAAAAACGCCTGTATAGAACAACGCCTGTATAGAATAACGCATGTACAGAACAGAGGAGATGAAATTGTTGTACGCTACATCCTGCTGTGGAAGAATAACGATTCAACCATTTGACAAGTCACGCAGATAATGTGTGTTAATATTCTCATTATTTTCCGAAAATCATTTTTAATTAAAACGAACCAGCCTCATTTCAAACAAAACTTACAACTCTAGCCCTCTCCCCAACAGAAACGTGTAAAGTATCGGGCAAAATAACACGCTACATTAGCTTATCAATACAATCACCAATGGCACCCTTTCCATCAACATTTCCTCGTAATTTCGAGGACAAATACATTTCATTCTGTTCTATGTGGTACTATTCTGTACTATGTGATACTGTTTTGTGGTTTCGTTTGACTGTGATATAGATTAGAAGGTGTGTGGCCATCAGAGAGAAGAGATTGGTGGGAAGTAGTAAGAGTAGAGTTATCCTCAGGGGAGAGGTCGAGTTATTCCCCCATTAGGTTGTTGGCTTGATTTAGTTTTGAATAAAAGTGACGAGATGAACTCAATTCATGTTTCCTGGTTCAGGGGAGGCCCAGAGGGCTCTGCAATTTCAAAAAACCATTAGAGGATCTGAAGAGGTCAACCGTTAAGTCCGTCACTGTTCGTGATGAGTACATGGCCTGCTTGTTTATTGTACTCGTATTTTACTTTTATTTTTGAACCCTGATTTCTAACTCATTATCAAAAAAATAATGTGGATTCACGTGGCAAGAGACTCGGCTATGATGTACACGTATTTGGTTCGAATCCAAGTGAAGTCTGTTGGTTTTCCACGTTGGTTGCTCTGCACTTTACCTCTTCAAATCGGAAACACGTCCTAATTATTAAAATGTTGGAAGTTTGGACTCTCACCTCGTTTACGTGTGACCACAGAGAGACAACAACAAACCGAAAATGACATAAAGCTCACACAGCCTGTCGTCTCTGATCATAGCACATACCACAAAGGTTGTGTGTTTGTGTGTGTGTTAGGGGGGGGGGGGGTGACGATTATTAATGATGTGTCTTTTACCCGGAGTATTTGAATTCTTTCCAACTCTATCGTCATGAATTTTCTTTAAAAGTTCGCATTTTAATTCAAATTTTTAAGTTTACTTTTCACGCTGCATGGTGGATTTTTAAAGAAAAATCATTATTATCATCTATATTTATGTGTATTACCTTTATCACATTTGCGCATGTTTTCTTTCTCACTCACCTGCAAGCCCCGTAATTATAGCTTTTCTCTTTCCTACTAAAGCACAGTTAGAAACATCTCTACCTCCTCTCTCTCTCTCTCTCTCTCTCTCTCTCTCTCTCC